GGAGCCCAATGCGGGACTCGATCCAGGGACTCCAGGATCATGACCTGAGCCGAAGGCAGTCGCTTAACCAACTGAGCCACCCAGGCGCCCCAAGAAATGTAATATTAAACACAAAGAAATGACATTGATTGGCCTGAGATGGACAGTGTCTACTCTGTTTGACTTCTCAGCATCTGTTTCAACATAACTGATTGATCTGAACCAGCCATAATCAATTTCACTCCCCTCGCCAGGGGATCCATCCAGGGATGGATTGGGAATGGGCATGTGACCCAACCCTGGCCAATGAGACATGAGGAGAAGCCTAATAAAGGGCCTCTAAAAAGAAACCAGAGGTGAGTGGCCTCTTTTCTTCCTCAAGACACCATGATATTTTCAGATGATGCCACGAGCCTGAAGCTGAAGGCCAGAACCAAGGGAAACTCAGACAAGTAGGACTGGAGCCTGGGCATGCCCTGGTCAGAGCCTACCTACCCCTACACGTATCCCCACAGGAGACAAATTTCCTTTCTGAGTTGGCTTCTCTGTTCCTTACAGCCAAAAGCAACCAAATGTATACAGTTTTTGAAACTCAGGTGCTGGGAATGGAGTGTCCAACATAATAAGCAAAGATCACTTAAAAGCCTCCATATTATACACGGAAGATGGGAGTTATTTGGTCTCCTGAGCATCCCTACTTAGTCACCTCCAGCAGTTCACTCTAGACCTCGCTGCAGAATTACATCTGCACCTTTAACATTACCGTGAAGATATGTAGAGACATTTCCATCCAAAATGGTCAACGCTAGGAATTCTTCCAAAAGGCCTTATTACATTCACTCCACCGTCTCACATGCTACAAAAGGAGTATAAACAAAACAAACAAACATCCTTAAATGACTCACGTCTCTGATGTAGTTCATCTCTTCTTTCAGCTGGTTGGTGGACCACCCATACACCACCATTTCTTTCTGCTCATTTGGATCCGATCTCCGCACCACGCCGTAGACAACACCCTGAGGAAGTTTCCTGGTTGGCTCCCCATTGCTTAGGTCAGGGTGCTTCAAGAAGGGAGAAAAGAGGAAAGAATAATGACTGTTTAGGCCTCGTGGGAGCAGCTCTGAGAAGGGGTGCACTGGGTATGGGCATGCGGGCTGTGCGGGCACTGAGGAGCCGGGTGGCAAGGAGAGGCCGGAGGAGACCCAGCCGCTCACCCTTCTCCCGCTTGTAACTGGCCTGGGCTGGGCCAGCTTTTGCCCTAGAGGAAGGGCATCTTTCTCAAATTTCTACTGAAGCCCTATCCACCCACCTAAGAGTGCCTCTGCAGGGCCCCTCCGGCCTGGACGGGCGCCCTTCTCATTCTCACGAAGGTGCCAGATGGACCTGTGTTATCCCCTCAGGACAAGAGCAAGTGTCTGCACTCTCACAGTCCTCGTATCCTGGTAATGCTGCTTTTCCCCGTGATATCAGTTCCTCTGGATACCTTCAATCTCATCGCTAAATACAACCCTTGAAATGCATGAGGTTGAGATACTGGGGGAAGAATGCTGGCTGCCCTCTGGCAGCCAAATTGTCCCCTGAGGGTAGGACTGACCCTGGACCAGCTCTGAGCAAAGGAGGGTGGGGGGATGAGTACACAACCTGTTGTGACCATTCATGAAATATTTCTGAAAAGCCAGGCAAAAGAACCTTCCAGCACCTTAATTCCTTCACCTAAAGCTTTGATCAGTGTTGAAATGCAAACGCCCTTGGGAAGGGGTAATATGTCCAAGTCCTAACACACCTTTATAGAATGAAGGCTCAAGAAGCCCGAGAAAGGGAAATTAAGATTTGTTCAGCTTCTACCATAAGCCAGATACGTTCCTTAGCACGCTGAATCTTTACGACCACTCTGGGACAGAGCGATGAGCCTCTCCATTTGATAGCTGAGAAAACCAAAGTTCAGAGAGGTTAAATAACTTGCTTCCAGCCACATACCCAGATTCAAGGCCGATTCTATGACACGAAGTATACCTCCCCATACTGCAGGCTTTGTTAGGTGCAGGAGGCCAGAGTAAGAGCCCCCATGAGGGAGAAGGAAGGGCAGGACAAAACCAGGGACTGAGACTTCATAGACAAACCAACCTACATCCAGTCTCCCCTGGGGCTGACCCTGGTACCTTGATAATCACAGTACAGAAGCCTGAATTCCATAATGGCAACTCTGCTCTCCCACTAATTTTTTATTTTTTTAAGATTTCATTTATTTATTTGGAGCGGGGGGAAACATGAGTGAGGGAGGGACAGAAGGAGAGGGAGAGATTCTCAAGCAGACTCTGTGCGGAGCCGAACTCAGGGCTCGATTCCACAACCCTGAGATCACAACCTGAACTGAAATCAGGAGTCGGATGCCCAACCAAATGAGCCACGCAGGTGCCCCTCCCACTAATTTTTAAACCACCATTGCATAAATTCCTTCCATGCACCTGCAAAATATTTTTGGCATACAAAATCGTAATTTGCATTTTAAAATCATTCATTTGGTCAGAATAAAAACTTTATGATCCCATTCATTTAAAGTTTGTCAGAGAAGGGTCTAAAAAGATACATGACAAATTATTAATAGTAATGACCTCTAAGGAGGGGACAGCATGGCGGGGCAGGGGTACTGGGTATCAGAACATCTTTCAATTCTTTCTTTATACCCATTTGTATTGTCTGTCTGTCTAGGATGGGAGCTTTAAAAAAAAAAAAAGAAAAAAACTAGAAAACGAAACATCCATTGCTTCCCACCCTTCGCTACGTATTTGGCAAGAGATGGGATATGACGGGTTGTGACACTCTGTATCTGCTTCCAGAAAATGATTCCGCTTGAGTCCCTGGTGCTTGGCTCCCACAGGCATTAAGGCAACTCTTGAAATTTGTATATAAATTTAGGCGGAGAGGCTGTTCCATGGCCCTTGGTGGAGTGACAAGCTGGGATTCCAGACCCCCAGTTTCCCAGACATATAATTAGGAAGAGGAAAAGCTCTACTGCAACTCCCCACATACCAGGCAACAAAAGCATGCTCTTTCAGTCAGTCTCCACCCAGTTCCTGAAAAACAAGCTGCTGAGGACAGGAGGCTTGGCTGAAAGGCTTTTCTGCAAGTCAAGTCTGTCCCAGATGGACCGGCTTTCAGGAAAACACTCAGGTGGCCGCATACAGAGGGCTGTGCCTCCCTGCCCAGCGGAGGGATGAGGACCAGCACCCGTGGAGGAGGACACACACAATGTCACAGACAACACAACGAGGTGTGCGAAACACAGCTCTAGACGTGGTGGCTCTAACAGTTACGCGTGGAAAGACATCGAAGGTCTGTGAAGTGAAAACCGGTCATTTCCATATTCTTGGGTTTTGTTTTTAAAATGTATGTTTGTGGGGCGCCTGGGTGGCTCAGTCGTTAAGCGTCTGCCTTCGGCTCAGGTCACGATCCCAGGGTCCTGGGATCGAGCCCCGCATCGGGCTCCCTGCTCCGCAGGAGGCCTGCTTCTCCCTCTCCCACTCCCTCTGCTTGTGTTCCCTCTCTCACTGTGTCTCTCTCTGTCAAACAAATAAATAAAATCTTTAAAAAAATAAATAAATAAAATGTATGTTTGTGTGCATAAAACATCTAGAAGGACGGAATCCAGACTTTTAATACCAGTGGCCTCAGTTGAAACGGGATTTCATTTTTTTTCCCCTTATGCTTCTGTAGGTCTGATTTTTAGCCAGAAAAAAAAAGGGGGGGGGTGTTATTTTTGAATGAATAACTTTCATTTCAGTTTTCAAAAAACTAAAAAATTACTACAAAGCCAAGGATAAATAATAGAGCCCAGAGAGGGGCCCGGCCCAGGACTCTGGTCAGGAGCAGGGCCGTCCTCCCGGGCCGCTCCACACCGAGAGGGTTCCCGAGGCAGCGTGAGCAGCTGCGGCACTGTTTATGAAGAGCGAGCAGGGGACAAATACTGGTTGTCTCTTTTATTACACAGCATCTTCTTTAATCCCCACCGTAACCCTACCACATAAATATTATTAGTTCTCCCAAGGTGGCGACATTCAAGTGCCTGAGTACATCTTCCCAAATCTAAGCTCTTCCCTTTGACCACAAAGCCTTCAAAATAGCTACGAGTCAGGAGTGAAACGGAATCTCACATCTCCATGTGGTAGCCCAGACCTCAGGGGCAGGGAAGCCAAGAGCCGGGGCCCCGGACCCAGTGGTCGGGGCCACTGGGAAGAGGCAGGCTCAGCATGTGGAGGCTCCTGTCCAGCCTCCTGGGCGCCATCTTCCCCTCTGCGCCGGCCCCCCCACCTCCCTTCTGTTCCTTTATCAGTCAACCTCCTTCTTGTCACAGGGCATGACACGGGCCATTCCCTGTGTGTGCAGTGCTCACTGCTGGGCTGCAATGTCTCTCCCTCAAGGACATCTTCACTCAGACTGGTTAGGTCCCTACACCTTCACCACAACCATAACACAGTGCCTATTAGTATCATCCTATATGGAAGGCCTGCTCACCCATCCACCGGGCCTTATTGGTCTTCTTTTCCATCACAGTCTCTGACACCTAAGTGACTGACAATGAATTTCTCAATAGATATTTGCTAAATGGAGAGGGAGCTTTAGAAGTTAGAAGAAATTCCGGGGACTTTTCCAGATTATGTAAATATGGTCCAGCTGAAGGGAACATCCTCTGCTCTTCTTAGATGGAGGGACAGGGAGATGATGTTTGCCCCGGTCATAAAATCTCTACCCAGAGGAGTTGCAAAGGAGCCCAAGACTGCTATCGTTCTGACAAAATGTCAGTATGCTTTTGGTGAAAAACTGGAGAACACAGAAAAAAACAGAAAAAAGAGTTGACATGTTTAGCACAGTATCTGTGGCAAAATATTTTTCCTCTCAGGTCCTTTAAAATATCTCCCTATAAGATAAATATTAGTTTTTTAGGCATGATAACAGCATTGTGATTGTATTAAGAGATAGCCTTTATCTTTCAGAGAAACATGCTTAAATATTTACGATATCTGGGATACAGGGTGGAGGAAGCGGATGAGAGTACAGACCGGGCCGGACTGAGCCTGGGTTGAGGGCTCTGGGGCTGGGTGAAGGGTCAGTGATTCATCACACCATTCAGTCTCCTTTTGTATATGTTTGAAATTCTCTGTAATTAAAAGTTGGGGTTTTTCTCTTACACTGTTGGTGGGAATGCAAGTTGGTACAGCCACTTTGGAAAACAGTGTGGAGGTTCCTCAAAAATTTA